CAATGTACTTTGAAAAATACACTCACTTATAGCATTATACTCTCTGATTATCAATTACAATGATGTTATAGGAAGATATAAAAGTAAATATAATACGCAATTCAACAAAGTACGTTGGTGTTCATTGCTAAGCCTAAGAAAAAATATCAAGAAATTTGGGAATCTTGATTATTCACAAAAACAACAAGAACTTATCATAATTTTAACTAGTTGTTCAAAAATCAAAAACACCATTAATACGATTGTTCATAAAAGTTTCAATAAAAGTTATCTTTTTTACTTATACAAACAAGAATAAATAACCCCACAAATCTCATGATTCTCACTATCATTCGAATCCAAACTTTAAAAATACAATCACATTTGATGTTTTTGCCCTTGTTGCTTCAATGCTACTATACTCGATTACATAGAAATCAACAAGAGTAGTTTTCTTCATATAATTTAGAAGAAACTTAACATAAATACAAAAATAAATGAACCAGAAAAGAAAAAACAGAAATTGATTTGGCTGTGTCTTTCATAAAACAGAAACTGATTTCCTTGTAATCTTGTTTCTTATGAATTTTAAAACTAACTTATATGTCCATTCAAAAAGCAACAAAAACAGAAATTGAAAACAAAAAATGAACAAGAAGAAAAATAAAAAAACAGAAACTCATTGTAAGATTGCAAGATTGTAAGATTGAAAGAAGAACTATTGAAAGATTTTAAGAACTGAAAGGTGATTTTCGAAAGATTGTAGGATTGTTGCTTCTGATTTTCAAGAAGAAAGAAGGTAGAAGTATGTACTAAGCATCATTAATTCAAAAATCAGTATGCCTAGAATGAAGAAGTATGAACTCAAGCTTTGGTATCCTTCTGATTTTCAAGGATGCCTTTTTGATTTCCTTCTTCAGAAATTCTGATTTTAAGCAAATACGAATCATAAATTCTGATTTAGTATCCTTCTGATTTTCGATATTGAAGGAACCAAAGCATCGTTTTCCTTTTCCCAAAAACTTATTGATTCCCGCTCATCTTTCTAACACCTACGTCGTTTCCTTTCTCATGGCCTCGCCTGATACATTCATTACATTGACTATCGACAATCCTTAACCTAACCCAAACAATGAACATAGTCTAATACATGGAAAAAAATTGGGCCCTAAATTTTAAGTGGGTCCTGTTCAAGGGCACACCTTGAACACCCAATGTCGACTCTGTATGTGATTAGTCACTTGTGCCTAATCTTGTTTGAGCGAATATAAGAAATGTTTAGTGTGCTTTTACTAACTTTACACGGAGGCCAGGTTACAACCATCATTTGTTAGATGTTTTAGGCTTTGAGATGAATTTTAGAATTAGGTTTATAAGCATATTTTGCATTTTATTTTATTTATACTACTGTTTTGGAATTACTGAGTTTTGTTAACGTAGTTAATAATGTGTTTGGTTTTAAAATGTTTATTTCCCGAGATATCAAATTCTTATTAATCTCTTAAATTTTGAAACATTTTTAGGGGTTTACATTGTGTATGGATTATGCAAGTTTTTATACACCTAAGCTTTTAAAGCCTTACTTAATTATTTTGACTTAGAACATGACTAAAGATGAAAGAAAATTTTGATATTTAGGGGGTGTTTGGGGTATCTTTTCAGAGGGCAAAAGGGTTTTGGGAAATGTTCCAAAAAGTCAGGTTTCCTGACTTTTCCAAAAAATCAGTTTTCCTTCTATAAAAAAAAATCCAAAAGGAGCTTTTAAAGAGCTTTTACCAAACATCTTTTCTCTGTTATCTTTTCCTTAAAATCTTTTTGCCACCTCAAAAGATATCCCAAACACCTCTTTAAAAGATATTTACTACAACCGTACTAAAAATAAGACACTTTAACTATTGTAAATTTATGTTATTTTCATATGCACATACTTTAAAAAACTATTTCGAAATGTGAATGGTTAAGATCTTGTACACAAATTATTTTCTAAAAATGATTTTTAGTTTATAAAATATTTAAAATTTTTTATTTTAAACGAATATTTTAATAGTCCATACGAAAGATATTTACTATAACTAATTTCTCTCTATTAATTTCTATGTTAATTTATAAGAATCATGGATATTATACAATTTTGTTGTTAACCATTACCATGACCCATCAAATAATTCTAAAAAAAAACGACAATGGAAGAATAGAAGCTTTCATCATAAACCCGACATCTTAAACCAAATAACCATCCTTCATCAATGGTGTCCCTCATCTTTATCTTACCATCATTCTTCATTATAGTTATCCTACTCGTTGAGAAAAAAATGTAGCCAACTAAAAAATAAAGACCAAACTAAGATCTATAAAAGTTTACAAAAAAATATATCTATGCATCAATGATGCATGTCCACCAAAATTTGATACCCATAATTTAACCATTAACCATATTTCATAATATAATAATATCATTTTGAATAATACAACCATATGGGTGAGATGTCGTTAAAAAATAAAGTAGAAAGAGAAATTTTATCTGTAATGGTGGTAGTGAGTCAGTGAGATGTCGTTAAAAAAAACAAAAGTTAAAAAGATAAATTTTTATATGTAACAGTGGTCCAAAAACTACTCGATTAATTGAAAGTTTAAAACTTTACCTAAATAAAAGACATTCATAAAGTGAAGACGATTTAAAGCAAAAGTGTGTACTATGCCAACTGTTAAAAGTTCAGGGGTCGAAATGTAAATATTCTCATCTTTCTACACTGTTCCTCTCCTTTAAAACCCCCCTTTTTTTCCGTCTCCTCACCACTCAGTCTGTCAACTCCTTTTATTTCTTCCATCTCCTCAAAATCAAAGAAGAGAGAGAAACCAAAAGAAGAAAAAAGAAGCAATCAAGAGAGAGAAAGAAGAGATCTTTGCAAGATGTCGAAGTTTGCTGGTCTGCTCGTGATTTGTGCTGTAATCCTTGTCACCCACATGATGGTGTTCGCATTTCCAGCCGTTGAGGCTGCTTCAAGCGGTGGAGACCACGGTCTCGGATGGCTTTCAACCACTACTTCCACCGTCGGCAGCCGCTGCCGTGGATCTATGGCGGAATGTCTCGCTGAAGGCGCAGATCTGGAAATTGACGACATGATGGACAGCGAAACCAACCGGCGCATTTTAGCCACCAACAATCGTTACATCAGCTATGGTTCATTGAGCAAGAACAACGTTCCTTGCTCCAGGCGCGGCGCGTCGTACTACAACTGCCGCTCCGGAGGTCAGGCTAACCCTTACACCCGTGGTTGCAGCGCCATCACTCGTTGCCGCCGTTGAGCGGTGGCGTTTGTTTATTCCTATTATTTTATTTGTTTAAAAAGAATACGATTTTATGTGAACTACTTTAAATTCATATTAGATTGATCCAAATCCTATACTCTTTTACATTCAAACCAAATTTCGATGATGATGCTAATAATATCCGAGTGTAATTTTGATTTTCTATGTATGTTTTTATCAAATTCTAATTCCCTTTCACGAACCCTCATTCCTTACATACCTGTGCATCATGCATTAGAAGCTGTACCTTCTTTGCTGTCTATAGTTGTACATCGTGCAATGAAAGTTGTTCTATAATGGTGTGACATTTTTCTTTATGAGAGTTATACCTATCTATAATTAGGTTATGCAATGTTTTAGGGATTAAACACCCAAATCGGGGGATATGAAATGTGTGTTTTGATTTTGGGATGATGAGAGTGGTAGATCCAATCATTGAGCTTGAAAGAACTTGTTAACTTTATGCCAGGCTGGTATTTATTCTTTCGGTTCTTTAGTCAATTTTGGGGTTTTATGACTTCTCGATCGAGATTTGATAGGGGTCTCTTGCAAAGATGTGTTTGTGTGATACATAACTCATCTCTTGAGCAATTATACTTGTTATTAAAAAAATCATAAACAAATGATAATTAATATTCAGTACTAAGAATTAAATATTAATTAGTTATGAAGAATAAACGTAAAATTATTATTAGCTATTATCTATAATTATTGGGTTTTCTCGAGTACCGGATCAAACAAGTTATAAAAAAGGAATATAAAGAGCAGTGTCTTGTAATCAAACGAATTAAAACAACGGAATAGATTAAATAGATTAGTAAATACTAACGTGATGGTTTCGATTTCGACTTTGTAGATTGTTGCTACAACCCTTAAAGTTATTTATATTACTTTATTTATTTTTGAAATGGCAAACTATTTATGAACCTATTATGAAATATTATTTATTTCTCTTTTTATTTGAGAGATCTCTTATTGGTTGTAAGTTTCATGGGTGTTTGGATAAATAGTTTTTAACTTATTAGCTTATTACTTATTTGCTTATTGTGGTGAGAATAAACATTTTTTAAAAATGTGTTTGGATTAGCTTATTGCGGTGGGAATAAGCAATAAGCAATAAACATTTAAGTGTTTGGCAAAATAAAACAGTTTATATGAGTAAAATGACCAATAAGCAATAAGCATTCCCCCATTGCTTATTAAAATCAGCTTATTTTGTTTATTCCTACCGCAATAAGCTGATTTTTAAGGACTCATATCCAAACACTTAAATTTGATTATTGCGGTCGGATTAAACAATAAATAACCTATTTTTTTTCCTATCCAAACACCCCTTAGTGTAGAATCTCACTGTTTAATATTGAAAATCATTGTTCCAATAACTATGGAAGAAACCATTAATGCAGAATGATCATTCTGAAATCTAGAACTAAAAATATGAAACTGACTTGCGAATTCATAGAGAAAGAATTTGAGAGGGTTGCTTTGTTTTAGTGTATATATATATATATATATATATATATATATATATATATATAGAGAGAGAGAGAGAGAGAGAGAGTTAAGTTTAGGTATTCAAAGTAATTATTGTGTTATTGTATGCATAAATATGAGCCAATCAAAATTTAAAATAAAAAATAAATAATTAAATAAATAAATAAGGGTAAATAGGTAACTTGATAATTAGTTTCCACAAATAATATCCTATAATTATGGTATCTATTGACTTCAGCTACCTAGGTTTTCTCCATCCATCTTTGGCTTTTTAAAACCACTGTAGCTTTAATCAAACCATCTCCAGCTGTCACCTCCATCCTCATACCTTCATTCCAAAGGGTTCTCCATAACTTTTGCTCACTCGAAGCTCAACCCACCAGACCCTTCTACTCACCTTGACTTCATCTTCCTCCCTCTGCTAGACAAATTATCCGACATTGACGACTCTTCCGGCTTCATTCAGTTCTTGCAAGCTTTAAATGATAACTGCAAACCCCATCTTCAAAAACACCTCATCCAAATCATAGATGCACAAAAGGCCTCATCTCAAAAGGAATCAATCGTTATCATCCATGAGAATCTCATGTTTTGTGCCGGATCAATTGCCGGTGATCTGGGTCTACCCTCCATCATAGTGCGCATCAGCAGTGCTGCCTGTGTTCCTGCTTACAAAATCATCCCTCAACTCCATAAAGAAGGTCGATTCCCTGTAGAAGGTAAGTGCAGATTAAAACCCCACACAAACAAACACAACCTAAAAGAAAATCTGATCACAAATTATAATTTATAGATCGAGATAATAAATTCTGTCTTCAAGATTCTTTGCTGTAGGAAATGGTTCCGGGACTCCATCCACTAAGATACAAAGATATACCATTTATTGGCCTCACAACACAATAAAGCCTGAAATTGACAACATTGTTCTCCTCAAAAACACACCCGGTTGCTTTCATATGGAACACCATTGAATTTATTGAACAATCGGCACTGACCCAGATCCGCCATCGCTACCAAGTTCCAGTTACCATCGACCCATTACACAAAACATCACCAACCCCTTCCGATAGTTTTCTTGAAGAAGATACCAAATGTATTTCATGGCTAGATAAACAATCACCCAAATCAGTAATTTACGCAAGTGTAGGAAGCTTAGCAACCATGGATGCAAAAGTGGCGACTGAAATGGCATGGGGCCTAGCCAACAGTAACCAACCGTTCATATGGGTGGTTCGATCGTGTTCGGTTCATGGGTGTGATTGGATCGAGTGTTTGCCGGAGGATTTGGTAAGTGAGATGAAGGTGAAAGGTTTGATTGTAAAATGGGCACCCCAGAAGGACATATTGGCACATTCTGCAGTTGGAGGATTTTGGAGCCATGTGTTTAAACAAAGCTTACACTAGATCAAACTAAGGTTTGGTACTTAACTTAATTTCTGATAATTTAAATTATAAAAGTAATTTACGGTTTTGGGAATCTAATACCAAGATCTAAAACGAGAACACTTGATTTATTAAAGTCCAAATACAAAAACCCTTCATGAGAAAAGCATAAAATTCGAAAACACATCCCTTCAAGAAGATCCTTGGCAGAAAACTCTTTTTCTTGGAAAAAAACTGAAAACCCTTTTTACATTGACCTTAAATCCTTGGCAGAAAACTCTTTTTGCTTGGCACCAAGGCCGGCCCTTTATCGGATTGAGATTCGGGTATTTGTTGTTATATTATTGCTTGATATGTTTGCATCCGAGTAGTTAGGATGGTATTCGATAGAGACCTGGTTAAGGTCGGTATCCTGGTAGATAGGATGATGCTATAGAGACCATACTTCATTTACACTTCCAGCATACGAAAACATTCCCCATTCTCTCTGAAATATCAAACCCAATTCCTTTCATTTACAAGCTTCAACTACTCTAGTAGATGTTGCTTCAAGTTGATTATAAGCTTTGGTAACTTTCATATAAGATCCTAGTGTTTTCAAAACCATCTTATGATTATTAACATCTTATTCACACATTATTATGTTTTTAAATATTAGGATACGACTATTTTTACGTGAAATCGATATTATATTTATTTTACGTAATTACTTATCTCTTCAAATGGTTTTATTTTCGAATAAAACTACATGTTACAAAACTAAGTATGGCATATATACTTGTACTTTTCAGCCTTGGAATATATAAGAATACAATTCAGTTTTTATGGAAAATATAGGATTTTCCGGGATAGATACGATTATTTAACAAATAAACAGTTTATAGTTCAGTTTTATGACAAATATAGATTTTCCGAGATATATACAATTACTTTTCAAACAGACAGCTTACAACTCATTTTATAGAAAATATCAGATTTTCTAGAAACACATGTAATTTCATCTCATTGAAGGCCATATATTTATTCATATAAATTCTTATGAAGTCACAAACTTAAATGTTGGCACTTTTTCTCAAATAACTTGTATAATTGATATTTTGATGCTAAGGCGTTAATAAAACAGGTTCTTAACAGCTTTTGAAGATGTGACGATTTTGAAGATTTGTCGCTAAGGCGTTAATAAAATCTTTTGACATCATAATATAATTGATATTTTGGAAACTTGTGATGCATATAATGATATAACTTTTCAAATACGTATATGATGGTTGTGTTTACTTTCTTTACTATTCAATTATTATGATACTGCACATGATGTCCTCCGCCCCCGAATGATTTCGCCGTTTAGGTTTAGGGGTGTGACAATTCTTACTTTTACATCGAGATTCATCATCCATTTCTCTGGTTTGTTATAGCAGGAAACAAATTTCCCTTTCAGCTTATTGCGAGATGCACCATTATTGGATGATTGATGCATACCAACTATAGGACCTTTGTTGACAATGTCGAGCATACTGAAATCCATGAATTCTAGAACTTTCATGGCCTTTGATATCCAATCAGAGATTTGTGTTTGTCAAATGGATGGATCTTGCTATAGACAGTTGAATTTGGAACAAAAGAGGTCGACATGATTACTTGAGTGTATCTCAAACCTACTCTGATACCAAATGAAGGTTTGTTTTGATTGGATAAACTTCAAGTTTGGATAACAAATATAACTAATCTTAGAAAAATAGTCAACAGAAGGTAACAAACATAGAAGTTTTCCAAATTGTTCTTTTACCAAGAAAGAGTTTTGTCTTCACCAAGAAAATGGGTTTGTCACAAAGACGATTGACACAAAGGCACAATCACAAAGTTAGGATCTGACTTAATGTTGTATATATACTAATCTATAGATGTATATCCCTTGATTGAAGGAATTGCATCTAATATATAGTAAGAACCGATCTTAACACAAAGATATCGGATATGTGATCAATTGTATACTTATCTATATCACTACCTAATATACAAAAAGATTGAAATTTGATAACTGAACTGTAAGCTGACACTGATAAACTTGATATGTTGGCGTTATGAATGTATAGATGCTGATGCTAAGAGATCAGTGTTTCATGTGTTTGACTCAACGGATCATAAGGTGTGACCTTATAGATCGAGATAGAAGACTTCGAGGGCGAAGTCTGATTCTGGAGAGGGAGAATTGTAACATCAATTGCAGCCACTCGACCTTTCAATTTTTGAATTATTTAAGAATGAAAAAAACCAAAATTCAAGAGAGTCACGATGTGCGAGATTGTGTCTCATGATGTGACTTTAGGCGGAGACACGTGGCCATTTTAAGGCTCACGACGTGACACATAGATGTTCACATCGTGAGATCAGGCTAACCCCAATAATGTGTTTGCATACCCTTATCCTCTATCACCTCCTTTCTTTCAAAAATGTTCTTAGCCTCCATTACTAACCTTAAAGAGCTTATCTACTAGTTTTTGTCCATTTGAAGAAGAAGAAGAGTCCATAGGTTCATCCTTTTGGCAATCAAGCTCCTACCTCATCATATTGTCATGATTTTGGTCCTGTGTAAGTCATAAAGCTCCTGCCTTTATCTCTAATGCTTGCTAGATCTAGGATTTATGCTTTCTTTTTCATGGATGTGTTGAGTAGCATGTGTGGGATCCATAAAGTTTGCAACTTTATGGATCATCAAGGCATTACCTACTAGTATGAGTTTACATCTAAAGTTTGGTGTTGGTTTTTAACTCCAAGCATGAGTCTTGATCCTATTATCTTCTTATTGACCTAGTTGGCGTTCAATTCATACATTGGACATGCATGGCTACAAAGCATCGACTTTTATGATCCTTAGGGTTAGGGGAGACCCTCTGGAAAGTCTCAAGTAATGGCTTAGGGGATTAAAAGCTTAATGATTAAAGCTATCCAGAGCGGATCTCACGATGTGAGCAACGACATGTCAAGTTGTAAGATGTGGTATTTATGATTGTTTTGTCCTTTTCCAGTCACGACGTGACTATTCAATGGAGTTGACCATGGTTGACTTTTTAACCATGGTCGAGTTTCTGAATTTGGTTGACTTTTGGGTTAAGCTAGAGTTTTAAGGGTGTAGGCTGATAGGATATGACTTTAATTTTGTTAGGTGCCTTTTTGGTCTTTTCAACCATTTATATAAGAGCAGTTGTGTTTCTAGCTGTTACCCGTAAGGTAAGTCTTCTCATTACTTTACCTGTGTGATATTTATATTTGTGACCAACTGGGTATGTATTGATGTTTTTTGTTTTTCCTTAAATGCTTTGTTGATACTTCAGGATTACTAACAATCCCCAGGGTTATTGATAACCCGTGGACGTGCTGTTAATCCATAGGGCGTGCTGTTAGCCCATTAGGATTGCTGATAATCCCTAGGGTTGCTAATAAACCACAAGTGTTTGTTATGTTGTGATGTATGGATATTTTAGGAGAATTCTCTAAGATTTATGCTTACAGTTGTGGATTAAATGTGTTTTAGGTACCTCGGATGATCGCGGGAAGGCGAAAGCATGATTGTACGCTTTGGGTTGCAGATCATTTTATGATTTCTGCATTTTGATTCTCTGATTTGTAATGATTTTATCGATACACCTGAGATTTCTTGTTTTGGTTTAAGAGTCTTGGAGGTTTTCCTAATATAAAATGAAATTTTTGTTTGAAATTTAGGGTTGTTACGACTACAATGATCAATCACATCAAGGACATCCAACGGAAGACAAACCAATAGAGTTATGATTCAAGAACTTAACCCATACTTCTGAAATAGTCCTAACTTCTAAATGTTGCTAATTCTCGATATGTGAAGGTTTTTATACATTTAGGGGTAGTTTTTCAAGGGTTTTTATGGATCTATACAAAAAATTTAGACGACAGAAGCATTCAACAATACCCATGTACTGTTGGAATAGTGTCTAAGGCTGCAACTATATTAGGCAAGTATTTGACCCGGTTGTGCATGGTCCTTTTGGGTTGCCTTCACCATAGCAACTTGACAACATGATTTGTAATGAGAGAAGAAATATTATTAATATATTATGAGAATAATATAAGGAATAATAATATTGTTATTTGATTAATATAAGTCATAAATTAATTAGGAATTAATTTAGTGACTTAAAGAGATTAATTAAATAGAAGGGCATAAACTGTCAAGTGTATGATAGTTGTACTTTAGGCTATAATCCCTTAAGGATAAAGGGGCATGGTTTTTAGGACTTTGGATAGGCCTTGAAATCGTCCAAGGCTTATCATTAGGGTATTGGATTGCTTAGGGCCTAAGTTATCCAATTAGGATTTTAAAGGTGAAACCTTAGGAGCCTTACAAGTATAAATAGACCCAAGGGGTTGATGAAATCGGCACTCTTGCCTTTGGAAGAACCCTGGCTGATTTCTATCTGCCTCCCCTCTCTCTATAATCATCCTCTTGCTAGTTGGTGTTTGTAAGCCATTATAGGAGTGACACTTGTGACTCTAAAGCTCCAAGGACAAGAAGATTCAAGCAAGTGATTCAAGGTAATCTTCTAAATCTGTTTTCTTATTTTTTTTATGCTAGAATTACCATTAGAAGTCTTGGATACAATGCATGTTCAATTAGAGAAACCTAGATCCAAGCCTTAGGGTTTGTATGTGCACATAGGAATGTTCTTATGGCTCAAACCCATCAGTGGTATCAGATCCTAGATTGGTTTCTATTGAATTGATGCATTGGTTGCTTGTTTGATGCTTGCAAAATTCGAATTTTGTCACTCTGGCTGATGAACTCGACGAGTCCCATAGTGGACTTGGTGAGTAGGCTCAACTCGGCGAGTCCATTGTGGTACTCGGCGAGTTCGAGCGTCAGAAAGAGCTAATTTCGGGATTTCTTGCTGTTTATCTTTTGGATACTTACCTTTATCATGTTAGGTCAATATAAATCCGATTTTAAGATATATTTGAGTATATTCTTGACCTAATTGAAGATATTTATC